CTAAAGAGATCATTATAATTAGCATAAAAAAATGATTTAGGAAGCTTTATTGAAACTATCCCCTAGTGTAATAAATAAGTTATGTGGATCAAAATGAAGAAATATTATCAATTTCTATATTGTTGCAATTAGTTATATTTTACATTTTATGCAATAAAGTTATTAAAAACAAAAACTACTATATGGCAAATGAAGTTATATCTGGTATTTAATCGTTAACAATAGGATTTTAGGTTGAGTAAAAGATTAAATACTCAATAATGTTAACTGCCCTCATTGAGTCCAGGTACGGTCTGGTAGAAGACTATCGTGGCAAAGAAAGAATTATTTGATTACCAAAATAATTCTTTTGAACAACTAGGCACCCCTTCTTCATCTGCTAGGCTGGAGTTAATATAAAACTGTGCTACGTTGTATATCAAGGATTTTTGTTTTTGCTTCCTTTAAAACGGTAATGCAACAATTGATGTGGATACAGTTTTATTTTTAACTCAGTTTAATAATCTAAATATTTATTTTTAACTCAGTTTAATAATCTATATGCTACCTGGCAGTAATGTTTTCCAAACTATGTAGTAACCTTTGGAGAGATTGATTCCATTATCAATTGTAAAATATCAGAGTACAAGTGTGCAGAGTACAACAGTGAATAGAGTAAACTGAGTACAACTTTGTACAAATAGAGTACAGAGTACAACAGTGCCAAGTTGGAAACAGATGGTGTTTTTGATATGTATTGTGATGGTTACAATACGAGTCCAAAATTATAAGTTATTGTCAAACAGCAACACTGAGGCGGCTAAATTATTGATTGTTAAGGAAGCCTTGCTCTATGAATCATTGTTAAAGTACTTTTTAACTTAAAACACGACATAAAAAGATTAAACATTAAGTCTTTGATCAAAAAACTATTAGCATCTAATCTGATAATTACTAAAAAGTTACTATAGAGATTACTATAATAATGGTTAAAGAGTTTAATTATTAAAGAATTATTAATCTAATAATTGTTAAAAAGTTTTTTTTAATGTAATAATTATTAGAGAGTTTAAAAAATTTATAGCACCATAAACCTAATAATTATTAAAGAGTTTGAAACTTTTTATTCTATTGCTCTCTTGCTTAATGATGTAAGTAATAGTTTCTTTCATGCATTAGATGAATGCAACAAGGCAAGGACTTTGCTTTTGATATATAACAAGCTTTTGATTAGTTTGGTATGTAGATCTTTTCCATATGCTTGCTTCATAAAGCGTATTTGGCAAACTTTAAAGATTATAACCATCCTCTTACTACAACACTTTTGTTATTTTTTAGTAACTTCTGGGGTAACAAAAGATTCGGTCCTTGCTCTTTTGATATTTTTTATCTACATAAATGATCTACCCAACAATTTTATACCAAATGTAGTCCAATTTAATAATGACTTTACCTAATAATCCTGTTTATAAAAAAGATTTTCTCTTTTCGATCACCAAGAACAAGCAGCCGACCTTGAATCTGATCTCTCTACTGTAACAGCTTTCAGTAGCTTGTGGTTTTCAACTCCAACCAAAACTCAATTATTTACTCCAAAAAACTATTCACAATATTGCTGAGGTTTCATCATTCATGAATGGTAATTATCTCACTGATTTTTCTACTTTAGGTCTTCTTATATTATCATTCACTACTGAAATCTGAATGGAAAACATTTATTACAAAGTTAGTATCTCCAAATATTATTTCTCCTTATTGTGCTTACCATTTTTTTATTCTCAATTCCATTCTCTACCTTGAAAAATTTTTTATTTTTACCTGTTTGTCATATTTAGGCTAGTTATTCTAATAATGCTATTTCTCTTCAAGAGAAAATCCAAATATGCTTTGTTAATGTAGTTGGATCTGCTCTTTATGCAAAACTTGAACAACTCTTCCATGGTCATAATGTTGCTTCTTTTTATCTTTTTTACAAATACTGTTGCAGTTAATTAACATTCAGCACAGTTGTATTTTTAATGTATCTGTGTCTTCATGCTCTAAAAACTTTTATTCATTTAGTTTTTCTCTCACACATCAATGTTTTAGAAATTTCTCCCATATTTATCTTAAAGTTTTCAGACAAACATTTTTTTGCTCTTTAACACTATTTTTTTAGTCATTGACAACCTAAATGCGGTTGGTTTAGCTTATTTAAGAGTAAATTAGTTTAAAAATAAAATTAAAAATACATTATGAATTGCAAACATAAATCTCTAAATGGAGAAGAAGGCGAATTAGCAATAATTATTAAGATCCAGAGTTTATATCAGTTAAATGCAAATTCTAACTGTTAATAATTTTTACTTACTTTAGGAAAGGTTTAAAGAATTTCATAAAACAGCTTACTTTTAAATCATATTGACAATTTCGGTGAGCTGATGTTTAAAATAATATAGTAAAAGTTTTGCAAAAGCATTTGTAGCCGTTAAAAAAAAAAAAAAAAAATTCCTCTCGATTATCAAAAAAAAAAAAAACAAGC